GTAATATACTTGCTGCTATTTTCTTTGTGCTGCATTGGATGAAAAAATAATCAGAATATGTACATTGATTCTTCATGTCTTACATCTTAAAATATTAAAATGTATTTATTAAAAATAGAAAAAAAGCCGAAATTACTCAATCTTCTTACAACCAATGGTTACAATATTTGGACTGTGAAAATTATAAAACCTTAATTTTCTTAGTATCTTCATCTTCCCAAATTCTTTCATATTTACTTGACCTCTCCAACCATACCATACATAACAGTCTTCTCATTTTTCCTTTTTCCTACATTTATGCTGATATTTGTAAGAAACTGTTATTGCCCAACCCATATCTCCTTGCCCTACTATGTCAGAGTACACTGGCCTTATTTTCCACAAAGGTGGGGGATGTGTCCACAGCGGGGTGTTAATTCCCTGGCATTTCCAGCCTGTGTAAGGGCCCCAACAGATTCCAGCTGCCAGAGAAAGTCCTCAGAAAAAGATGCAGCTCTGGCAATTGGAAGACTGGCCAGTAAGCATTGAATTAATAATGTACCCTAGGAAAAGACCTCCATCAATGACTAAAGGGAGTAGTGCATGTATATCTGAGTTTTCTCACATTTTGAGTGTGCTAATTCTGAAGCTACTGTTTTAAATGGTTTCCTAGGAATCCCAGTGAAATTAAGCTCTGTTTGCTTACAATGTAACTTGCTTGGGTAATTCACCCTTCATTGCCTTCCTTCCATTCCCTGTCTCACTTCCCCAAATCCCTACTGTTTCCTGAAATCACTTTCTAAAATACACTATTTGCACTTGAATCCTTAACTCAGGATCTGATTTCAGTAGAACACGAACTCAGAAAATTTTCCCAAAGCATAGACTGAAAAGATATTCAAGGAGAGGGAATATTTATGTTCTATAGTTAATAGGATTTATTGTAGGAGAGGCAGGAGGATGGGGACAAATGAGTTTAGGAATACTTGTGGACATCAACGATCTGTGTTTTCTCTAGTGAGCCAATCATTATCATTGAAAATAGATTATCTTATGTCCATATTACTCAGACCAAAACTTAGAATGAAAAAGAACCCCTACTGAAAGCCAATAAAGACTCGGAATTTGTTCTTCAGATTAATATCATTTTCTATCAGAGTTGCTTATGTTCCTAACTCATCAGCTAATTAAGCAAGCAAACGCATACATGTTCTCTTATATCTTATGGTGTTAGAAAATATTGTTAAATTTGCAGTGCCAACTGCTTGGTCAATTAAAAAACTAAAATATTTCTTTTCAGAGAATTAAAAGGTCAAATATTTCTCTTATATTTTTCAAAAAGTTAATTCAAACAGTTTATTTGTAGCCTAAGAGGTACAGCATACTATAGTGGGAGCTGCTTTTAAAAAATTACCTCAGTTTTATTGGCTGGTAAAAAATGCAAGACAAGATATAAAATGTCTATGTTTAATCAGAATGGTAGAGGTATATAGTGTAAAATGGAGAAGTATACTTTTTTAAAAAACAAGAAAATACAACAGAGAATGAAGGTTCCAATGTACTCTCTGATAACCTTCATCGACCAAATCATGATCACAGCTAACTGATCCTTCGATGTCTGAGCAGATCTTAGGATAGTCTATGTAATTCCTGGCAAGCCATAGCTAAATAAATTATTGATAAGCATGCTATCCACATTTAAAATCATACCTTCTGCTCCTAGGCCCCAAGGAATGGTGGGTAATATTTAAATATTAACCCTGAAGAAGGAAATAAGAGAAGGGTCAAATAAATAAGAATACAGTGTCATGACTCTCAGTAAGCTTAAGTCTACAAGGCACTTTAACTTAGTTCACTTTCAATTTAACTTACACATGGCAATGACAGATATTTTCTAAGATATTTTAAACATATTTTACTTATTTTTAGAGATTTGTTAACATCAGTTTCCAATTCTCAGTCTTTTCCCAAATTCAAAACTACATTATGCTGAATACTTTGTCCAAGCTTTAATACAATATAGCTTTGACCTATTTTCATTTTTGAATTATCTTTGTCCCCTGTCTTTTACTCCCCAAATCCCAGCCCTTTTCCAATTTTTTATTTAAAAACATCCTTGCATATTTTTGGTACACTTCACAGAACACTTTGATTACACAATGTCTGGCATCAGCTTTTTCTATCTTGACTACCACATACTTATTCCAAACCCTGGTTTTCTTTCATCACAGCTCCTTTTTGTTGTTGTCGTTGTTGTTTTAAATCCAATTCGTGTATAAACAGTCTTTATTTTGGGCATAAAGGCTGTATCATGGTTTCTTATTACATCATATAGCAGATAAAAATTCTGGACTTTTAAAGGTTCATAGACTTTCACCAGTTACATACTAACTTACCTGCTTTCCCTTTCTTTGAGGTCTCAGCATTTCTTCTTCTCTGACTTGAGGCAAAGTGTTTTTCATACTCCAAACTTTTATTCCCAAACTAAACGTTATTTTTTTTCCTTGTTCAGCAGACTATCATCTATCTTTCATCACTTAAAAAGCACCAGAAATCCCAATGCCTCCTAGATGTTCCTTACAATAAAGGATGCTGTGAGGAGAGTTAGTATTCTTTTTTCATTCCCTCCTTTATCAGGAATTAAATTTTATTCTATTCGCTTTGGTTAGTGCCTTAGATATGCAGGTATTCTTGGTTAGAATATCATAGAATGACAGTGAAGTTCTTTATTATGCTAGCTTTTACTAAAGGCATCTTTCAGGTTGAAGTGCTGTAGTGAAAAGTACATGGAAGGAGCATCTTTGTTCTAGAAACGTAGCGAATATGTTCATACCTTTTCACATCTTCCAATGCATCATCTCATTTGACTCATAAGACCTATGGGAAGTAGAGTTACAGTCCCTGCTTTACGTGGGAAGGAACTGATGCTCTAGTGTTCTGCAATATTCCGAGAGGATAGACTTTGAAATCAGGAAGACCTGAGTTTGAATTATTGCAACAATGTTTATACCTGTGCAACTCTAAATCATTAACGTCTCTAAACCTAAACTGCCTCGTAAAATAGGTACAGTAGTAACTATAAGATACGCTGCATGTAAAGACCATGCATGTAAAATGACTGCTTGGCACATGGAAAGCACTTAATAAACAGCCAACGTGTTAATTCGCCCAAGACACTTTTAGAACCTGACTGCAAGGACTTGAAGCCAAGATTTCGGGTTCCAGAGCCCATGTGTTTCCATCATCCCTAATTCCTAGCACGCTGATTAATTAAACAACTAACTTGATAGATGACCTTGAGTAAAACACTTCACTGAATCAGTTTACTCATCTGTAAACAGAGTCTTTTCAGATATTCAGACTATTGCAGCTATGTTACTTTTTTTTTCCCCGTAGCGTTGTACACTTGACGTTCAGATTCCTTATATATCCAAGATCTGTATAATCATAAGCTGTGCACATTGCAATGAGTTTCATTCCTATAGTCATACTTAGTTCAATAATTAGTTTTGTGTACACTCAGCTGTTGCCTGTCTTTAGTCCGCGTATCAGCGCCTCGTGAAGGGAAGACCCATACCTAGCTTTTAACAATTTATATCCTGGCTTGTTCCCGAAAGGATTAAAGGCAGCGAGCGACACTCTAAGTTCCCTAACGATGTTACACAGTGTGACTAATAAATACTCTTTTGATGAAATCACCCCGTAGAAAACCGCCGATTAGTTGAGATGATGTCTTTTACCTAACTCTTAAAAATAAAAACTATTGTACCTAGCTAGAAGTCCTGGAAGCATATAATTAAGGTTCTTTCTTCAGCCTTGACGCTGTCTCACCCGTTGTCAACGGTCACTCGAATGCCCTTCTCAGACTAGCCAAAATTGTCGCGGCTCCAGCCCCGGCTGGACCGAGATCCCACCCCGCCCCTTCGTTCCCTCTCGTACCCAAGTTTCCTGATTGGGAAGGGGCCTGAAGAGCCTTTCTCACATCCCCATTTTATTGGCTGGCACGGCTGTCAGTAATCTCTGCTTCCCGCCTTCTAGCCTAGCGGGTTTCTTGGACCCCTTGGTTTCTGCGACAAGCCGCTTACGTTTGCCTGAGCCGTGTTGCCGGGGACCCGCGACCTTTCACCCCTCCCTTCCCACAGGAGCGCCCCAGCCCCCGTGCTCTCCCCCGCCGCCGGCGCGCGCCCCCGCGCACGCGCACACACGCACGCGCATACACACTCAGCCCCCCCCCGCGGCCCCCCCCCCCGCCTCCGGCGGGGCCCCCTCCGCCCCCGCAGGCTGAGGCATCAGCGCTGGGAGGCGGCAGCGGCGGCGGCGGCGCTGCTGAGAGGCAGAGACCGGAGCGCGAAGTGTGTGGGAGTCTACGAACTCAACCCCTCTCTACCCTCCCCTCGCAGCCATCCCCCTCCCTTCCCGCCAGCCCCCCCCCCCCCCCCCGCGGGAGAAATAATGAGCGAGACCGGGCGGCAGCAGCAGCATCGCCGAGCAGCCCAGGCAACGGCAGAACCGCTCCGGCAGCGGCGGCGGCGGCAGCACCAGCAGCGGGAGCGAGCGCAGCGCTAGCGCGGCGCGGGGACCGCCGCGCTCCTTCCCGGCTCCTGCCCTCCTCCGCCGCTCGCTCCTCTCCGCATCCACCTCCTTCCCCTCCTCCTGCTCATTCACTCTTTCCCTCGCTCTCCCCTCCTCCTCGGCTTCTCCCCGCGCCCCGCCAGCCCTCGCGCTCTCCCTCTCCCTCTGCCCGTCCTCCCCGCTCCCCTCCTCCCGCTCATTCACTCGCCCCTCTCCCTTCACTCTCTCCCCCTCTCTCCTTTCTTCTCCTTCTTTCACCCTCGTCTCTCACACCCCCTCCATTCCCCTGTCTCCTTTCTGACACTGCACTGCAGCTGCTCCTCAGCCCTGCCCCCTCCCCAGTGAGAACAAACCAGCAACATTGCTTTTTTTTCCTAAAGAGATTTCTATTGATCCGATTAAAAAAAAACAAAAAACCTTAAGAAACCCCCAAACGCAAAAAAAAAAAAAAAAAAGAAAAGAAAGAAAAGAAAAAAAAGCCAAAACAAAAGGGAGAACCTTCTCCCCGTAGCAGCGGCAGGAACTGCAAACATGATGGCGGCAGCTCCCATCCAGCAGAACGGGACCCACACTGGGGTTCCCATAGACCTGGACCCGCCGGACTCGCGGAAAAGGCCGCTGGAAGCCCCCCCTGAAGCCGGCAGCACCAAGAGGACCAATACGGGCGGTGGGTATCGCTTCCACCTCCCCGCTGGCCCCATCCCCCGCCGCCCGCCCCTGCCTCCCTCCCTCCCTCCCTCCCGCCGGCCTCCCTCCCTCCCGCGGCCCGGACACCTCCAGCCCGAACCCGGCGGCTCCCGCGCCCCTGCCCCGCGCCCCCTCCCCTGCACCTGCCCCGCACCTCGCCGTCCCGGACACATTTCCATTTCTCTGTTTATCATTCATCAAAATGGCGACCGGTTTTTCGGAATAGACCTATCTTTCCATTTAATCGGTCTAAAGACTGACATTTAAATATCCTAGACCTGGGCAAGGGGGTCCGTTAAAGAGGAGGAGGATGACCCCCGAGTGAGGTGATGGCCGCCTGAAGATGCGCGCTGCATTTAACAGTCTGATAAAATAAATAAATAAATGGCACTTGGGTAGCGGATAGCAAATGACTGGGGCACCGGAGAGTTTTTCCCTCTCATCCCCTCGCTTTGGGCCACAAGTAGTATGCAAAATCTTGATGAGTGCATGCTCTTACCGCACTTATACTGTCGTTGCAAATATCTCATTGATTTGTCTTCAGAGGTGTGCATACGAGGGTGGGGGTGTCTGGTACTGTGACTTGTTAGTTTAACATCCTGCGCTTCCTGGGAAGATGAGTTATAACGGGACCGGTATCGCTTCTTCATTTGCACTGGAGTCATCTTAACAATGCACCCAATGCATCGAGGCAGAGGTGAATTTATCTACAGCATGTACATTAGAGACGGATGGGGGTCTTGCGAATGGCACACCCGCAAAATTTAGAACGTTTATTCACATAAGGAAGCTGGATTTACCGGGGTGTTTCCGATTGAAGACTTGATCAGTTTGTCAGAAATTAAAGTTTATGGAGTTGGCTTTATTTTCTACAACATTTCATTTCACTCTTTACTGGTTCATCCACTTCCTCTGTTTTAAAAGCTGTGGCTATTTTGGAGAAGTAACATAATCTGTTTGGTCACTTTTAACTGTATTTGATATAAATGACTCCTAAGCTTTTTAGTATTGGCAGAATTCTTCTTAAGGTCCTTTAATTAATGAGCTTAAACGAGATCATGGTAGACTAAGAAGTGCTAAAGAAATACACCAGGATTAGTTAGGTTTGCCAGTTCACATCACTTTGAGTTATTTCCTGGCAGTTATTGCAGGCTTGGAATACACCCTACAGTTTGGGTGGATTATTTGGTAGGACAAATGTTTGTTTTGCATACTTTAAGTAGGATATAGGCAATGGCTAATTGTAGTCCTTAGGTGTTTGCTAATGTCAAACAAATATAGCTCATCACTATTTACAGTCCTTTTACTTACTTATATTGCAATATGGTAAGTGAAGGTTTGTCATCATATAAATCTCTGAAGTTTCGTTAAAGGGTCAGTTCATTTCATTTTACCATAGTAACCACAGATGGAATTGGAAGACTTCCATGTTTGGAATAACAACTGGAATTTAGTCATCAGTTTCTACAGTGCTGCAAAATAATAGAACATGTTTAGATTTTAATTCCAAGTTTAAAAGTATAAATCCTACAAAATGGGAAACATTTTGTACCTATTTATTTTTCAGTGTAATTGGCTTATTTTTGTTCTTAAAAAAAAAAAAAAATTAACCCCCTGTTTCCTGCAGCTGTATGTCCAATGTTTTAATTGCTGTTTTTCCCTCTTGAGGGTGGAGAGGGGATACAGAGTTTAAAATTATCATGTTAACCAAGTATATTTCTTTGCATTTTTCAGAAGACGGCCAGTATTTTCTAAAGGTTCTCATACCTAGTTATGCTGCTGGATCTATAATTGGGAAGGGAGGACAGACAATTGTTCAGTTGCAAAAAGAAACTGGAGCCACCATCAAGCTGTCTAAGTCCAAAGATTTTTACCCAGGTAGGTGCAATGGTGAAGAGATTGTTTGATAAATCCCCAAGGAAAGAAAGAGAAGATCTACGTGTGTTGTATGTTGTATTGAAAGAAATTCTTAATAGTTTAGACTTTATTTATATGTTGTATTTGTGGAAAATTTTAAAGAATATTTCCACTCTTATGTTTTGTTTCTATAATCGATATACTGTGTCTGTGATTTAAAACAATTACGAGGTAACATCTTTTGGGGATTTCTAAATACTTCTTTCTAATTAGGAAAAAACTCTAAAATTTAAAGATAGAAACATGGACAGCTGGCATCAGGAAATAGGGTTCTTTTGAAGTTTTCAGACATCATTGTAATGACAATTAGTCTAGAGTGAATTCAGAAGAGGGGGTAGGAAGGCTTCTTAAAGAATGGACCATTTACTTCTAAATCCATTATGTACCTCTTTCTGCTTCACTGCTTTGTTTGTTGGCTCTGGATTGAAGTAAAGAGGACAAGTGCTGCCTCTTCAGATTTTTAAAATACTGCGTTTTTAATGTAATTGTGACAAGGAAATATATTATTACATAAGAAGTAAAGTAATACTTCAAAATTTGTGTTATGAAGAGTTGTACTGGATGAAAATATGTTAACAGTTGTGTGGTACTGTAACCTACTGGAAAATGGCAAGTTTCCTAGGTGGCATAATTTTTTTCGTACTTTTCAGTGTGTGTCTTTTATTTCAAGTGTTACACAGTTCTCTGTGTTTTATCTTTTTCTTTTTATCATTTTGCCACTCAGTATATGGATTTTACGTGTAATTGGATGATCTGCATAATGGAATAGTCTATCTCTTAGATAAAACATTAACTGAATTTCTTTTACTCAGGTGTACCTTCTGCCATTTTTTTTGGGTTATTTTGTTTTCATGGCCATAAAAAATACTTATTCAGTGCTGAGGGGACTGATACTGCTTTTTCCCCCCCTTCCTGCTGGAAAAGAAAAGCTCATTTGCTTTCAGTGATCTAATTTCAGTAGAGTTTTTTAATAGAGGATTTCTTTTTCATAGCCAATTGATTGGTGGGAGAAAATGGACCATTATGTTAGATAAGAAGGTTTTAGAATGGTTGAAAAAAGCACTTAGTTATATAAATTAAATCTATATTTGGTAAACACCACAAATATTAAACTAAAATGTAATCTCTTAGATATGCTGTCCTTTGAAAGTTTGTTCCTGTGAGTGTAGTTTTGTAGATGGCTTTCCTTGTCTCTGAAACTTTCCTTATGCATTAAGAAAGTTTACTAACATATTCACATTCGTATGTTTAAAAGGTATATTATGATGAAAAAAATCAATGTGGAATTGTGAAAACCTTAGTACAAATAAAAGCATTCAAAAGAGCTTGATTACAGAATTAATAACGTGATAGTTCTAGGAAAAGAGCTGCAATGGTAAATTAAATTCACTGTCAATAGATGAAAATGAAATAGCTATTTTGCATTATACATGAGGTGGTATCAGATGTGCAGGGATGTTACAGAAAATTGGTGTTTATCAAGGATATTCCAAATAGTAAATTAAATGCCTTTTCATTTGAATATAGTTTGTTTTCAGTGGGCTTGAAAGGGTGTACCTAAAAGCTCTTTTGTTTTTAGTCCACTTAGTTATACATTTTTTCCTATTACATTGAAATTGCTTATTTTATTTATAGTTTTGAAGCACGTTATTCATATAGAGCAAGAATATTCGTTGGAAAAAGTGGAAAACTGGAATGCGTTGAACAAAATTTTGTGTGTGTAGTGACGTAACCTGATCAAATGTGATTTGAAATGTCTGGATAAAAGAAGGCTTATACTCTGCCTGTAACAGGTGGAAACCAAGCACACGCTGTGGAATCAATTTTAAGGATAAAGTAAAGCCTTGTAATTAATAAGAAGTTGTATTAATTCTGAACATTTTAACTTAAATATGATATTGTTGGGTTATTACCTGTTCAGACAGATACATCTCTCTTTTCTGACCGACTTCAATTTTAATAGCCTTTCTGTTCACATTTGACCACAAGCCTGTGGAATTATCTAAGGTCCTGGTATTCTTCAACATAACAGCCTCTGAGCTACTTTCAACTTCTCGCACTCAGATGTATTTAAGGATTACTTACCTGCTCATCTCAGATGAACTAAATTATAAAACTGTGATTTCTTTTCGCCGAGTTCTTGTAGGATTATGCAGTAATTTGGGAGCCCATTTTTGTGTCTCATATATGTATTTATGACTCATACTCTATTAGAATGAATATGCCTGATGTTTATTTCATGAAGAATATATCTATTTCTTGTTTGGTAAGACAGTATATTTGGGGAAAAGTGTACTTTAGTGGTATAATCTAATGGATTCTCTCAAATTACCCAAGTTTTGAAACAGAATGTAATTGTGTTCGGAAGGTTTAGTTAAAATACTGATATATTTAAGACAGACTTTCTTTAGGATGTGTAAGCCAGTATACAGACACACTTTAGGGGTATTTTAACAAATTTCAACTGAAATGTATGTCCATTGTTTTTACTATAGCCAGTATAATATACTCATATTTATCATATTTGTGAGGTTTTTTGTTGTTTTTTTGTTTTTTGCTCAGCTTGTATCTCTAAAATATCTTAAGCAACCTTGTCCTTCTGAGTAATTTTTAGTATTTATGGTTGAACTCAAGAAAACATTTTTTGCACATTAATTGGTGTGATTTAGAATTTGTAGAACTGTATATTACATTGTGTATTTCAGCATGTCATAGTAAACAAAATAATTTGGGAAAATTGATGAGGATTGTAAAATGAATTTTTTAAGTTACTGTAATCAAAAAGAAAAGATCTATGAGTAAATATACTTTTGCTGTGTAATTCATCTTTTTGGAAATCTAAATCTTACAGAATACTACTTATTGCCTGTGGTTTATGAATATATCTTTTTTTCTGACTTGATTAAAGCAGCCTATTTATTTATATATCTTTTTTATAATTAGGTTACCTAAAGTTGTTGCCTTGTAGTTAAAAACAGCTTTCTCATTTTGGGGAATATATTACTGTATGCATTTTCAGAATGGCGATAGTATTCTTTTATTATTTTATTTGACATCTGAAGATGTGTTTAATTTTTGTTAATAAATAGATTGATTTTGTTTATTAAAAATAATGCATGGTTCAGGTAGATAATCCAAAAACTTACTGAATACATTATTGGTTGCGAATAGTAAAGGATTTATAAAATATATTTTTTCATGTGTGCCTTATATTTTAGAACATTTCATAATGCACCTATTGTTATTCCATTGTATGACCCTAGAGATCTTCATTATATCCATCAAACGGAAATGCTTCACTGTAATCATAGCATATATTAGTGTGTATCTTACACTTTTTCCGTATTTGTGATTATAAAACTGGACCACATTTGATGTAAAGTATTTCCTTTCATGCTCCTTAAGTTAAAATTTGAACTTAGATTCCTAGATTTATTGTATCATAATCTTAGCATTGCACAACTTGGGTGATTTTTTTTCAAATCACGAGCCAGTTACGTGTTAAATTTTTAAAAGTCTCGAAAAAGGAGAATGTAAATGATTTTTTTCTTTTAGTGAAGGAAATGCCCAACCCTGCCTTAATTTTGACATGGGGAAAATTCAGTGGCCAATTTAACCTTTAGGATTGAGACTGTATAACATAAGAATGATAATTTTTGGAAATCAGATGAGTTAATAAAGTTTTAGAATAGATCACTTATTTTGTTTATATTACTGAAGGAAGAGAATAATGGTAGTGGTAGTACAACAGGAATACTTTTGTTACAGCTTTTCAAAGTTGCAGTCTAAACACTTTAATCTTAGATGCAAGGCATTTTAGAAATTTATTGACATATATTTTAAGGCAAAATTAGTAGATACATAAAACTGTAACAAGGAAAAATAAAGTAGTGTAATTTCTAGTATGTTGAGTTTAATACGATGGTTATCATTACACTGTGCTATCCCTTTGATTTTCGTATGATCAAAGAGTTGCTGACATGTAACGTGTTTTTCTTTAAATCTTAATCTTGTAATATTTATATTTGTCATATTACCTGCTGTTATATTTTGTCTCTCTATACCCTTAGTTGAAGGAGGAACTAATGTGTTTCACTTAGACATTACTATCTCTCTGAAAATTTGCCGTATTTTTAATGTTTTATGTCTCATTTTAAGCAATAGGAAATCTCAACATATGAAGGAATGTTACTGACATAGCACAATCTATGTTAAAATTGTAGAGTCTGAAGATATAATTTTGATACTTATGTAAGCAAATGTTTCATAGCATGGATTTTTAGAAAAAATTGAATTAGCATTAAAAGTCTTAGATATTCAGTTTATTTGATTCTTTTTTACTTCATTCTGATGTTACATCTTCTGTCATTGATTTAGTAAGTTGTGGAACATCATTTAGAGTATTGGTGTTTTCATGAATTATATTGTACAATGTCACTTTGATATTAGCTATTTGAAGCCTACTGGATTTTGGAAAAACAGCTTATTTAAATTTGTGACGTTGTAAGGAAATTAAATGTGTCTAATAATATTGCCTTGCAAATATCATCCCCAAAAGCTTTCAAGAATAGTTTAAAAATAGTGAATACAATCAGTGAAATAGTTCAATATTTATGTGTGGAAGATGTTTTGTATGATATAGAAGAGGAAAAATAATGTGCGTTTTGGGAAGTCTAAGGAGTATGTGGTATTACTAAAAATCCGAGCAATAGACACCCATCAAAAACTTCTCAATTTTACAGCTATTTTCTTTTATTTTGTTTTGCTCTGGCTTAAGAAAATTAATTATTACGCTTCTAGATAACACAGATAACATTTATTGAACATAATTATGCCACTTGTTACCTAAAATTCAGTACCTAATAAAACTACTTTTTACCATAGAGTTTAGTGTTAGTTGTTTTCAGTTTAGCAGAGTTGTTTTAAAGCAGTTTTATGAGCAAGTGCAGCTTTTCAGAATA